AAGTTCTCTTTGTTCCAACTTACTAATTCTATACTTTTTTGGGACAGGTGCCTCGCTTGGTTCGGATGCATTCTAATGAGATGGAGGTTAGATTTTACTTGAAACTAGTATTTTTAGTTATACAAATTGTTGGAGTGTTGGAGCATTCCATTTTCTAAAATAAATTTCCCGTGCTTGAGGCCTTGAACACAATTTGATGTGGTTTTCCTCAGGACATTCAAGAAGCACATGCTGGGCAAATAGTTGCAGTATTTGGTGTAGATTGTGCTTCAGGTCTGCTTTTCTTTGCATTCATGTAATTTACCACATGTTGTCTCTTTTATCTTGCTCAAATATGTAAGGAGCTTGAGGACATTAGTGTCCCAGCAGATGGGAAAATATTGAATGGACATTGAACCGTATACCCCAGCATAAGACAGATTTTGAAACAGCAGAAGTTGGAACTGGTTTCATGTTTCCAGACGAGGGTTAAGGATGTTGATGATATTATGTTTTTCTCCCTATCATGCACATATTCATTTTTCATCTAAAAATGTACTTCATAAAGTTTCTTAATCCATGTCTGTTTCTGTATTCAGGGGATACATTTACAAATGGGTCTGTCAGGTACACCATGACTTCTATGAATGTCCCTGAGCCAGTGATGTCATTAGCTGTTCAACCAGTTTCTAAAGACTCTGGAGGACAAGTGAGCAGTTTCTGTTTCTTTATCTGTGTCTAAATGCTCAAATTATCCTTATCATATTCTGATAAGTAATTGATGAATTTTTTATACTTTGGAACTAGTTTTCGAAGGCTTTGAATCGTTTTCAAAGGGAAGATCCAACATTTCGTGTTGGCTTAGATCCTGAGAGTGGTCAGGTCTGGTGTATAAGATTGATTTTCGTATTGTTTTAAGACAATTCTGTTTTGCATTATCATGACTTGTAATGTTTTGTGGGCAGACAATTATCTCTGGAATGGGAGAGCTGCATTTGGACATATATGTCGAGCGCATCCGAAGAGAGTACAAGGTGTCAACCTTATATCTTGGACTCTTGGTTATGCATGTAAAAACAAGGTTTTAAAATTTACGCTAATAGTTACTGTAAACAGGTTGAAGCAACTGTTGGAAAGCCTCGTGTTAATTTCAGAGAGACAATTACTCAACGTGCTGAATTTGATTATTTACATAAGAAGCAAAGTGGAGGGCAAGGCCAATATGGAAGAGTAATTGGGTAAGTACAGGCTAATCCAAACAGATGCATCAAATGATAAGTTTTTTTACACTGATTCTTTTTCTTTCTTTCTTTCTTTCTTTTTTTTTTAACATTATATAATGCTATCATATCAGAATTATTTTATTACAATAAAAAAAAAAATTTTTGAGTTGCTAGATTCAAGCACAATATGATATATATCACACGCAATATTTGCGTGTCAAATTTTGAGTATTGACTGGATATACTACCCAGGTGAGTTCTTGTTGAGCTCTCGAATATTTTTATTGACACAGCTTTCTGGTCTTTCCTTCTGTTGTTGATGATAGGATCTCTCTTTTTTTTTTTTTGGGTAATAATATTATGATCTATTTGATTCCTTATATTTATGTAAGGTATGTTGAACCACTTCCACCGGGGTCTCCAGCTAAGTTTGAATTTGAAAACATGCTAGTGGGACAAGCTATTCCATCAGGTTTTATTCCTGCAATTGAGAAGGGTTTCAAAGAGGCTGCAAACTCGTGAGTATCTTTTGTACCCTTTTTGTTATCATCTCATAAGTTAGAGACTATGGCAGCATACTATGTTATGTTTCTAAGAGTTGGTTTTTCTGTGTGATATGAATCATTCAATGGTCTGTTGTATGTCCAGGGGTTCATTAATTGGACATCCAGTTGAAAACATCCGTATAGTGTTAACAGATGGTGCATCTCATGCTGTGGATTCCAGTGAACTTGCATTTAAGTTGGCTGCAATATACGCCTTCAGACAGGTCCTTGTTGTATCTCTGTTTCTTTTTCCTTTTTCTTTTTTCTTTTTTTTTTCTTGGTAAACTTGTATCTCTGTTTCTGGGATGATGTACCCTTTCTATGATATATTGCTTCACATATAACTGCTGGATTTCTCATATATGGTTTTTGAACAGTGCTATACAGCTGCCAAGCCTGTGATATTGGAACCTATTATGTTGGTTGAGTTGAAAGTACCAACAGAGTTTCAGGGCACAGTAGCTGGTGATATAAACAAGTAAGTTCTCTTTTTTGCTATATGTGAAAGCAGCTAAGACTTTCTCAACAATTTTTAGATATCGTAATGTTCACACTATTTATATTGCAGGAGGAAAGGTGTTATTGTTGGAAATGACCAAGATGCAGATGACTCCATAATTACTGCCCATGTAAGTGAAGTTTGCTTTCTCTTTCAAGCAGTTTCTAGCTCTTGGCTCTGCTGCTATATTTTTTCAACATAATGATTGAAAGTTTTGCTGCCTTATGATATCTGGTTTTTGTTTTCATTATCATGTTGATGTTTTCATTCGGATCAAGCGCTTCTGTTTTTCAAAAAAGAGAGCCAACATCATACCATTTAAAGGTTCTGGTACTCTTCTTCAGACATAAAGCTGTGAGATAATAGATCATTTCTTCTCTCACAGGTCCCTTTAAACAATATGTTTGGATATTCAACGTCACTCCGATCAATGACACAGGTGATGCACAAAATCATGACTAAATTACACATGAATAATTGGAGCCTCGTTTAGTTTCTGTTAGTGACTCTGTTGATGATTATTTTGGCACAGGGCAAAGGTGAATTCACAATGGAATACCAGGAGCACTTGCCTGTATCTCAGGACGTGCAGATGCAATTAGTAAACACTTACAAGGCAAGTAAGGCAGCAGAATAGCTGAGTGTCACCAAAGCATGGATCCATCCGCCGGTTCTTTTTAAAGTTACGTAGTTTATTGGTATATTATTCTTTATAGCTGCATTGATTCGGGATATTTGCTTGATATTGTATTGATAAAAAAATTTTTGGTAACACAATAAGCAAAACCGTGATAAAGCGACTGATATGATGAATGTATCAGCTTATCAAGAACAATGTTCAAAGATAGTAAAATTTTGTTCTCATATCTATCAAATACTCTATTTTTCTATATTCCATACATATGCTGATGAGTTAGTTTTATATGATATAAGATCAAAGTTTATTCTCCTATAAATCAAAGATTTAATCTTTTACTCTTTTTTTTTTTTTAATTACTCTCTCCTCCTATCTTCCTAAAAAGGGGGGAAAAAAAAAGAGGAAAAGTCCCAATAAAAGGGGATGTCCAACCAACACGCTAAGTACAAATTTTCCCAAAAAATAAAATATGGCTTCCTCTTTATATTTTGTTTTGGGCCATCAAATCGGGCATATACCATTACTGTTTTACCCTCTTTATTCAGAAAGGAACCACAACACCAATGAAGTTGGCAGTTGGGAAAGTGTCTGTTCCATGGTGGTGAAGCTTTCATTCCAATTCCAACTGTAAAAAAGTTGCAGAATCAATCAACATTATCTCTTTCCTCCCATCCCATTCCTTCTTTTACTTGCTATATAAATTGGACATCATCGCCGCTTTATCCAGTCCAGGGTAAGCAAAATGAAAAAGGAAAGCCTTTCTCTGTCTAGAACCGCTCACTGCAGCAAGACCCACTTAGAGTATTAGTCATTGGTGCTGCTGGCACTCTTCTTTTCTTTATCTAGCATTGTTTCTTAAATTAAATTGAATGGGGGCTCTCTGTTGTCTTTGTTTGGCTGCTAAGAAAATGATAGAATCTGATCTTTTTCTTTCAGTTTGGAAATGATCCAAAATGGTCTACTCATGGTATCACATATGCGTGGCATTAAACACAAGGTTCAGAATGTTATTCTGTGGTTCTTTTCCTGACAATCACATGCAGGACGAATTCCTTCTTTTGGGTTGGGTGAGTTCTTGGTTACATTTCTTTTCTTGTACATGTTGTTTTGGCATCCAATCACCTTTATTCTTAAGGTGTTCTCATGGTTTCTTATAGTGTTAATTTGGAAGCTAGAATTGTATAGTACTATCTTGATTTAACCAGGAAATGGATGTTTTTCGTGAACTTATGGCATATCTTGATCATGTACCGCTTCAGAATATTTTGGTTGTTCTTGGTTGCATTGGTTTGTCTTGGAAGATCATTAAGCATATGAGGAGCTTCCTTAAATTAAAGAAGCCCGTTAGGGTACTGGTTACTGGCGCTGCAGGCAAGATTAAAGGATTCTCTCCGCCCTTTTTTTTCCAACTTGTTGTAGTGGTCGATGATCTCCTCAGTTGATGGCTCAATCTTTTGTTTAATCATTTTTTTACTTAATACTGTTCAAATATAAACATATATAAATCAAGCGGGCATATCGAACTAAATAAATTTTACAGATAGGTGCATGCATGCTTCCTAATCCATATCGAACTAAATAATAGTTTCTTTTTAACAGGACGAGTAGGCTATGCTCTTGTTCCAATGATTGCGAAGGGGGCCATGCTAGGTCCTGATCAACCTGTGATTCTTCACATGCTTGATATTTCAGCTGAGGACTTGAAAGGAATTGAGATGGAATTGATTGATTCCGCCTTTCCTCTTCTGAAAGGTACAAGTGTATGAAAAGAAATCATCTCAACTCTTGACTCATGACTCAAGTGTTGGTTGGGCTGTAGATTTAAAAATATTGTCTCCTTTGAAGTTTCTTATGTCTTCTGGTTTACATTGTTTAAAAGGTGTTGTTGCCACCACGGATGTTGCTGAAGCCTATAAAGGTGTTAATATTGCTGTCATGGTTGCTGGATTCCGACGGAAGGAAGGCATGAGAAGGATGGATGTGGTGTCCAAAAATGTATCAATTTACAAGGCTCAAGCTGCAGCATTAGAGCAGCATGCTGCTCCAGATTGCAAGGTTCAAAA